TAATGATTTCACAGTTTACCTTAACGATTAACTATTTGTAAATATTGTTATTACTACTTTGTTTTTGACCTCCAAAATTGATATTGGTGTTGTCTGCAGAAATCGCCAAAACTTTTGAAAATTATTCTTAGCACTAATGCATTTAAAAAAAACTTCTGATATCTGATGTTTCTCCATTTACACAATCCATGCTAAACAGCACTCCCTCTTTAACATCAACTAGTAAGTGACCGGGGCCCCGGGTAAAAATGAGACTTTTATCAAACCAAGTCCTGACTAAACTATAAGATTTTTCAGGGATTGATAGCCGGTGTTAGAAGAAAATTTATAATACTTTATATATTATAATTTTATGCTTATATTTACTATTTATTAAATACTGGCATATATTTTCAAACTTTAATTTACTCCTAACAAGATTGCAAGCAACCACTATTAAGTTACTTTAGAATAGAGAATAAGTAAAAATACTAGGAAATGTAAAAAACTGCAGACTTGAAAAGTTGTAGGTTGTATATAAAAGAAAAATATGAAGATAGCTAGTTTTTGTAAGGTTTTTTTGATGTGCAAGGAAAAAAACTGGATTAATAAAAGTTTTTATAGCATAAAGGGTCAGATACAGTAAATGGATGCAACTTGTTGAATAAGAAACAAGTAAGAATGAGTTTTGGGTTATTGCAATAGAAATAATAGCTTATTTGAGCATTGACCATGATTGTATTTGTAGAAAAAAGAAAGAAATGCAACCTTACAACAATGGAAGAGTGGCTCAAGCTTGGCAGATAAAGCAGGCTTAATTTGTTATTATTATTATTTTTTTATTATGTTAATTCACCTCCTTAAGGCTAAAAACACCACTACAGACAAGGAGGCTACTTAATTGTGGTTATAACCCTCTCTCAACTATATAACTGTGAAACACAAATATTGATACAACCATGGCCGCTATGAAGAGAAACAAATTGAGGGCGGTACTACCAACAATGTGGTGGAGATCAAACTTGGTACCTCTCGCTTATGATGCAAGCGCTCTACCACTACACCACGACCACACTACATTTACAATGTGCTTTTAGATTTTGTCTGAGAGTAGAAGGGTTATTATTCATTATTACAGGAATACCAACATTATACCAACATTATAGCAATATTTTTTGCAATAAATAAATGAGTTTTGTTATCAAACAAAAAATTACATATTTTAAGTTCAGAATTTAAATCCGTAAGCCACAGCAAACCTTTGATTGTTACAAAAGAGAGATCAGATTAAAAAGTAGCTGCGTGTTCTAAGCAATCAAAAAGTGAAGACTTTTTGTCAAGACAACTTCAAGGGTACCACAAAGTATCCACAGGATACTTTGTGGTACCCTTAAAGTTATTTGAAATAAAGAAGAGTAGGCCTTCAAGAATAACTTTATTACTGCAGCTAGTAAGAAATAATTTAATAATCTTAAAACCTTTATATAAAGAAACTAATAGCAGAGTGAAGACTAATTTGCAGGATAGTTGGAGAGGTCAAAGTGTTTTCTAGAGTTTTGAAAAATTGGAACCACTTATTTATCACTTATTAAAAATTAAATATGATTAAATATATAATTAATAAGATATAAATGTTAAATTTACTTTAGTTAATGACATTGTTGAAGACTAACCAAAAGTCTTTAGGACCTAATATCTGATATAAGATACAAAATTTAGAAAACTGAGAATAACAGAGTTTAACATCAGAAAAGACCTTTTTACATTTGTTTCTTGGAATAATAAAAGGACATTTGTTCTCAAGAGAGATGTTTTTCTAGAAAAGATAAAATAAATGATTAATAAAGCAACTGTTCAAGTTGATGAAAAATGTGGAGTAAAATGAGATTTGAATTGAAATTAAAGAGTAGGAATAAAAGCTTCCAAACTTTTAGTCCAGAAGGAATAAAAACTTCTGAGATGCGTTTTATGCATACATCATATGGACGTAAACATATATGTTTACTATTTATTTAGATGTTGGCATGCAATACCCTTTTATATTTATATAAACTTTAGTTTTTATATGGTGTAGTATTTGCACAAAGAGAAGATGATGATGATGATGATGATGATGATGAGAATGATGATGACAATGATGATGATGGTGATTATGATGATCATAATGATGTTTATATATACATATATTTATATATATATACAAAATATAACTGAATTTTGAATTAAAAAAATATACTTTAGGATGTATAAATATTTTTGCAACCACGGTCACAAGACCAGCCCCTGCTATATTTTATCAAACCCGGCCCTGGTCCCTGTCAAATATCAACCCCAGTTGTATACTAATATCAACATAATGAGCCAAAATTGGATACATTTTAATGTCCTTGTGGTTTGATACATAAGAAAGAATTGACACATGATTCTTTTAATAAAGCATTTTCTAAGTTTCACAATATTTCTGGAAAAAAAAAACTTGATATTTTTCAAATCATCTACCATCCTACTACAACATTACAAA